CGCACTGTTGACTCCTGATGCTCGTTCCTGCTGAGATGAGCATGACATGACGATCGCGTCACCGAGGCAAGCTGTCGTGATGATCCTTGTGTCGACCCAGCACTGTAATGGATTCGATCAATTTGGTCAATTACTGACCCGAATTCAATTTGATTTTTCGACTATGGATCTCGAAATTTGGCTCCATTTGGTTCAATTGGATCCATTTCCAATGTACATCTCAAACGATAACACTACTATTGTCAGAATTGATTGTAGAACCATATGATGTAGTCGAAACGACTTGAGCCACCTTCCTAAGATGATCGGGTCTTGAGAATCGGATATTACTCTTAACGATGAGTGTCTCATGACATGTGCAAAACTGATATTGGATATATCATTTCGATTAATCCCGAGTTGAATTTTAATTGATCCACCTTGTCATATAGTTACAGATGGCGTAGAACATATAATTGTCGGGTAGAAGACTACAATTAAAATTTCCAAGTTGTCAGGCCTCCATATATTTTGCATGAATAATTTATTATTATTTTTAATCCAGTCTTCATCTCACTGCATCTATGTGTTTTTTGCTACACGTACAAAAATTGAAATTTCTAAATCATATTTACTGTGATTGTAGTCTTTTTTTAAAATAATAACAAAATCTTTTTTTATAACATTAAATATCATACGAGACGCTTAGACGATTCAAACATCAGTCATTACTCATGATAGCATTTTCCAACAGTATCCAGAGGTTCGGAAATGGTAGAAGTGTTCATCACGACAAGATTGTCCTGACACACATAACAACGATGGCCAGCTTGGCTGATGATACACGTTTTGAATCTCTACATAATCAACAATATTTCACCAATTTGTTAAAAATACTTTGCAGATTGTAACATGCTCCATAGAGCCGAGGATAACGAAGTCAAATTAATACAACACTTTAGGGGAATAACATGTACCGAGAACAGTAGTAACTAATGTTCCGCTTTGCATTCGTCTAGCATGACACCCGATTTCCTTTCTCTGTTGTAACTCGGAAAATTACAAAAGCAGGAAAACGAAAAAGAAAAATATTTTCGAATATGACAACAGCGCCGCCGTATCAACCAAACTGATCACACCATTGGCTCCGTCATGCACCAATGCTGAAAATAACTGGATTTCAAGCGGCAGGGCAGGATCAGTCCATCGAGCCATTTGATCATTGAGTTGCTAGCAAATGCTTCAATTGACTAGTTACGCTCTTCCTTATGGGTTCAAATGGAATGCGCGATATCACTTCTGATCCAAAGGAGAAGACAAGTGCTTCTCTTGCTGTCTTTAAGTCGATGCCTCTGGCCTGGAAGTAGAAGAGCTGGTCTTCTTCAAGGTCACTGATGGCAGCCCCATGGGAGCATTTGACATCATCAGCAATGATTTGCAAGTTAGGTTTTACATTGGCTGTTGCACGAGGTGCCAACAGAAGTGTTCTCGTCAGCTGCCCAGCATCAGTCTGCTGTGCGAATCTGTGAAACCCCGAACCTGATCAGATCATATAATGGAACCACAAAACATGCTTTACGAAGTTTCTGCACTAATCTAATTTCTTGGCAAAAGAGGAATAAAGTACCTGTTGACCCTGATGTTTCCATCAAATACAGCGTGTCCTGAGGAATGGGATACAATGCACTTGTGAAGCTGACGAGAATACCCTCTAGGGTGATCCAAGATCAACGTGCTGTGCAAATCTTGTGTCTGGTTATTTTGACATACATGAAATGCTGAAAGCTCGGTCACAGTATCAGGGCCTAACTGCTGAATATGGAGATTGTGTCTGCTCAATCTTCCACCATTACTGACCTCGATGAGCTCATAAACACTGGATGTCTCCTGAAAATAACAACACACAATATTTATGATCCTTTAGGGGCTGCATGACTGGGCTTTTAGCAAGACAGGCAACCACAAAACCAGTTCTTGAAATATAAAAAAGTGATACTAGCAAAACTGGAGAACCTTGAATCATCCAAAATTCAGAAAATTAATGGCTCCTGTTTCTCGATTGATAAAATCCACCTCCATTTTTTTTCCATTGTGACCAAAATTATGAATCAGAAAAGAACATTTTATACCTACATGTCTGCCCGTCAGACGAGCCCTACCTTTTGATGCAGTTCATACCAAGTATTTGCAAAATATCCAACAGTTATGAATACTTTAGAACTATACTGAATTTAAAGTCCTAAAATTTATGTTCCACTAATCTTATCCAGGACGGCAATACAAAACTTTTAGAAGGATCAATCATAAAAAGCACAACTTAGTTTAACACAATAATTCTGGATTTTTAGACGAACACTGCAAAATATAATGTGTCAAATTGCATATGCAACTTAGCATGAATCTTGAACACACCTTATCTCTTGTAAAAAGAACTTTCAAAAGCATGGATGGATAGAAAATGTGAGCAAACGTTTTAATCTTTTTTTTTGGTTATCAAAAGTCATTTAAACATCACTTCTAACAATATTATCTAAGGAGAATCAACGAAGCAAAAGAATCTGTACTATGTATGGTTTGTCACTACTAGGCACTAGAAGAGTCAGATAATTATTAGAGTCCCATTCACATTCAAGCATAAGCACAAATTGCCACTAGATCTACTTCTCAAATGAAGGAAACTCCCTTTGTGGACGGTGAGAAGAATGAAATGTTTCATATGATATTTTCAACATAGATCAGTGATAAAGTGCAACACAAATCCATGAATGACTTTACAAAACATCAAAACAAGGACTACTTTAATGGCCTGTTACTGAGCTAACTAGCAACTGGTGTGATACACAATGTGGCTAGCAACAAAGGATGGATATGTTTATTCCACAAAAAATTGTTTACAGTGTGAATAATGTAGATATATCATGTTGCCTGTCTACCTTCTCTGCAGAATATATATATATATATATATATATATATAAAGAATACAATTGTGTTGCTTCTTTCTCTTACTTTCTAGTATTACTTTCCCTTAACAATGTGAAAGATCAAGCTATGCTCCTAGGGGTTAATAGAAAGTGCAAGATTAAAATTTTTGATACACCTAAGAAAAGGGTTAGCTCAGAGTGAATAACAAGTTATCTACACTTATATGTACACCTACATGACTACAATCCAATTATGAAAATAACATTCCATTAATCACCCTGATCATCTCTAATCTGCATTTCAGAATTCTCTTCGACAGGCTCATTAGCAAATGGATTAAAACAGCAATTACTTGTTAATTTACAAACATCGAAGACAAAGCTGTTGCAAGCCCTATAATGAACTCACCTGCCGAGCAAATGTCCACTTGATGTGGGCAGCATTCACCGATTGCCTCTGCACATAGGAGTGCACCACTTTGCCGCCCTCGCCGATCAGAATCTCCATCACGGAGTTGGCCCAGTAGCACCTCTCCTCACTACCCCCGATCCCCATGTGCTCCTCCACGAATGAGACCTCTGCTCCCTTCTCAACCACAACCAAGACCCTCGGGCTCGAAACGGGAAGCCGCTCCGACCCGACCTCGCCCCCCTCGGAATAGCATATTTGCACGTGAACCGGCTCATCGACGACCCGAACCCCGGCAGGCACAAAGATCACCGCCATATCGGGGGCGCCAACCCCGTTCAAATCCCAGAACAGGTCCCCATCTCCGAACCCTTGGGCAAGGGCGGTGAGCACCCGATCGACGGTGGGGCCGGGCGGGAGGGCGGAGACGCTGCCAGCGAAGACGCCGGAGGGGAGGGCGGAAAGGCGGGAGAGGGAGGGGGCGACGTGGCCATCAACGATGGCGAGGACGTGAGGGGAGGGGGAATCGAGGGCAGGATCGAGGGGAAAGGTCGGAGAGGGGGCGGGGAGGAGAAGGGAGCTCCTGAGGAAGGAGAGGTTGGTGAAGCGGAAGGGCTCGTCTTTGGTGGAGGGCCAGCGCTTGGACAGGAGGGATTGAGAGGCGGAATCGCGCAGCTTCTGAAGAGGGAGAGGAGAGGCGGCGGCATCAGAGGAGGAGAGGGAGTCCTCGAACTTTTCGGCGATCTCAAGGACGAAGGGGTCGGAAAGGGCCGCGCGGGCGGCCGCGGTGCGGTGTGCTCGGGCGGTGGTGGGGAGGGTGAGGGCGGCCGCGCGGCAACGGCGGCGGAGAGGGGTTAGCGTCGTGGGAGGGGGAGGGGCGATCGGGACGGAAGACGAGCAGTAGGACATGGTTAGCTGCTCGGCTTAAAGATGAGTAGATTTGGAATTGGGTGCGCACAGTCACGGAGTGGTGGCTGTGGATTTCAATCTGAGATATTCAAAGAAAAACAAAAACGAAAAAATAACAAAGCTGGTCAAAATAAACATTCGCGTCAGTGACGGTTTCATCGTCGGGTTCGTTCCAACGAGTTCCCGCACCCAAAGTTCGACCTTGGGACCCATCTAAAATAGGATTAATTATCTTTTTTATAATTAATTATTTTAATATTTTAATTCTTACTCTTTTAATAATTATATTATGATTCTTATATTTACATAAGTAAAATATTAAGATAACTATACAGGATTAAAAATATAAGGAAAAAAAATTATTGAAGTAATACGATCAAATATTTCACTTTAATAAATATAGAAATCTTAATATAATTTTTAAAAATATAAAGATGAAAATACTAAAGATAATTAATTATAAAAAATTATCTATAATTTTTAGAAAGTTGACCTTAAATTTACCCCTTCAAATATGTTGCTGATGAGTCCAAAAAAAAAAAGAAAAAAAAAGAAAAATCCTATTGATGATGTTCCAAAAAGTAGCAACAAGTTTATACAGTTAAAGAACACAGGCAGTTAGCAAGAAGCTTGACCATCAATCTCCATTACTACGCTTCCCGTAGCATATCAGATCTCATGAAGGCGCAAAGGAACATGAAAGCTTTCATAAGCGCATATAAGGTTGAGGCATTTATATTTAAGCGCAAGACTTGACGTGTCTATATACATTTAAACGAGACTGCACACTGAAGCTTTTGTACTGCTACACTTGAACAGCATTCACATGAATCCATTCCCCCCCATTCTCAGGTAACCTGAAACCAGTTTAAGGGTAAATATAAAGGTCACCTTGGAATCTATCAATGCAGATGAGCAATTATTCAGCGGCCACAGCCACCCTGGAAGTCCTCAGCTCCACCACCACCACACTAACGTTGTCAAAGCTGCCTCGAGAAATTGCAAGCCTGGCCAACACAGCAGCTGCGTCTCGGGCAGCAGAACCAGCAATTCCACTTGGATAATTGTTGCCTGTTGGACTCGCCATGCATTTTCTTATCACTCTGCATGCCATCTCACTTGATATTACATCCCATAATCCATCGCTTGCCAGAATGAGGAACTCATCTTCCTCCGATCGATCAGTCACCATAAATTCAGGGTCCGAGCTGACATATGGCTTGAGAAGGTAGTCTCCTGCACAGGTTCAGGATTGAAGAAACAGGACTCTGAAGACAAACTACAGACTTGATGAATCATAAGATAATAAATGAAGATATGCAAGACATAAAGCAGGATTAAGGATGACTTGGAGTTGCAGCAGAAAGCTCGCAACCGAGTTAAGAAGCATTCAAGCTTCAAGTGGATAGCTATTCATAGTTAGAGGAAGCACATCTTTTGTTTTGGAGACATTTTATCATAATCTACTCAATTGGCACTTTCTAAGGTTTTGATATGCAAGTAAATTTAGGTCGATCATCACGATGCACCTTGTTAATGTTGAAACCTAAAGTAGAAAAAACTCGATTTCCCTTTTAGTCCCACAACACCAACTGAGAACTTTTTCACTCTACTCTCGCCTATATAGTAACAAAATCACATAAGTTAAGTTTTTTGAGTTCTGCCTTAATAGTTAAATGCATCAAACAAACAAAAAAAAGCAGCAAAAAGCATAAACCAATCCTTGTTGAGGAAGTGTAGAAATAAGATGAGGGCAAAAAAATTGTATTTTTACAAGCTTATAAGATGAAGAAGATAAATGATAGGCTCAGCTTGGTTTACTGAAGTTGACTATAACAAAAACAATATCTTGAGTATTTTTAACTTGCCTGCTCATGAGATTCAGAGTTCTGAGTTCTAGAATCTTTTGTGCCCGGTTTCGCTTTGTAGACTCTCCTCACTCAATATCAAAAGAAGAAGAGTTTTACCCTGTGTCTTCTTTGTGAAGGAATGACCTCGATGAATTGGAGATCATTTGTCAATTGTCGTCATGTTGAACATTAGATTTAGTATTTCAACATTAACTGATTGGATGAATGTATTTATCCTTGTCATCTATTAAGCAAAAATATGCACGTACCAAAGGACCTAGAAGTGGCCAGTACTCCTAAGACACGAGGACAGTCCCAACAAAGGATTCTCCCTCCTAGAGCTTCCACTCTTCCTCGCTCATCTGGCCTGTCAGGCTGTTTAGGAAGAAGCTAACCATTAGTATTGACTTTCTCTTTTTTCTGATAAATTCATTAGTATTGACTCAAGGGCATATGCGCTGAGAACAAACATCAACTATCCAGTTATAGGTTAATAAATGAAAAAAAAAACACTTAATGACAGTGCAAAACAGCATACATCATCTTGGTAGATGTTAAATATGCTAAAGGAAACAAAAGATTAACCGAGAAAATTGTATGAATTTCCTCCACCTAGTCATTTCAATCATATGCATAAATTTATACATTGGATTTCAAGATACTTATCCACTAACATAATCTTTAGTGGTATACCACCACAGCATGCTGCCCACCAACAAGCACATGAAACAAGGCATTGGCTACAGCCCCAGGCATCAATATCATGAAAGTATTTGTCCATCATACAGAGTGAATTGAGAAGACAAGTGGTCATACTACTATCTACAGGTGACACATACAAGTGCATATATACATAATACATATTAATGTGTATAAATGTTTCTTGGCTTGTATCACTATGGAACTTATACAGCCAGACTTAAGTTGGCTAACTCAGTACTGGCATATATTGTGAATTATACTGGGGATGGCAATCCGAAATGATACCTAGGAAATATTAAGCAACGAATAAGGTGACAAAATCAATCCTTAAGTTCCTTATGGTCAACTATTTTTTCAATAGACTACAGCTAATCTGATCATGCAGCGGAGATAACATGGCTGATCCATTAATGGTGGAAGTGACTAACTAGATAACTGCAGAGAATAGTCGAGTGATTGAAGAAAAGTTACATGATAGCCTAAAGACAAATGATCCAAGTTGGTCGACTAAGAAATTAAAAAACAGTCACTGGATATATCTGATAATATCTGATAATAAACGAACAAATATAATGCAATGACAGTGATAGGCATCAAACCGGTGACTTAAGTTTGAATAATTGACCAAAAACTTCCAAAATTGTAGTAACACAACTTTATACCAAGATGTTTCAAAGCATGTAATGAAGACAACTTCACCTATCTGTATAAACTAGGGAAGTATCAAAGACTTTGTGCATACATAGGCACACAGCATCTGCACATGCCATGTGCTGCATAGCTCAAAATTAACTATGACAGTACAACATGAATGGCCAAAGGCAATCCCAGGATCAATACACTGAAAATTATACATTTAATTCACCTATCACATGCACAGATTCAACCTGAATGAATCTTTTGTGTTGAAATTTATCAAATGATCCTAACAACAAATATGGAAGAACAATCTTAATGTCATACACGACAAATAACTTTATCTAATGCCATGTTTCAAACATTCATCAATCAATTAGAGTTCATGCAATAAACTTAATGAAGTTCTTTGTCATACTTTCTTAATTTAGTGTTGAGTTTATCTGCCGTCATGTTCTAAGGTCATGTGAATCATTTTAATACGTTTTCTGTCCATTTCCTCTTTACTTCTAGAATTTAACAGCTCTGCTTCCATGTTCTTGGTGTTTTATGGTCAATTAGATTGCACGCTAGTGCTTTAACTAGATCTTTGTTGAACTTCCTGTTTACTTTATGAGAATTTAATCATCGACTGCCATGTTTCGATTGTTTATTACTCGATTATATAGCAAGCAAACACTTAAACTGATAGTTCTTTTTCCTGTTGTTCTTTCTTATTGACATTTCGTCTTACAAAATGAAACAAGTCAACTTACCAGTCTCGGCTCACATCACAGAAGGATGGTGATGTGAAGACTTGTAATACTTTTAGCATCATCTTCTCTTTTCCTTTTGAGTTTTTTATATGTACAAATAAGGTTAATGGCACTTATGGAGGATGTAACCTACCAGCTAACAGGTCAGGGTTGCATGCCAAAATGCTGAGCACTAAAACATATATAGACCTTGTCCTAAAACATATATGTTTGATTAATGAATTAGCCTTTTTTTCCTTACAAGTATGATAACTTTATGCTATATAGAGTGGGATCTCGAAGTCCTAGCTGCTCATCCCCTTTCTCTTCCATGAATTTGCATCTGCAGTCTGCCATCCCAGCAATTCTTAAGAGCCACAATCTACCCCTTTACAGGACTATAGGAACAAGCACTTGCTCGAATCATGTCATGCAAGGGCATTTCAGGAATAACAATAACTTACCTTCAGAATTCTTTATAGCAACATAAAACTTAAGAAGCTTACCACAATATATCTTTGCAGGTTTGAGTCAGACCCAACATACTGATCTACTTGAGAAAATGAGGAGCATTTTGGGAATCAACATGCAGAAGCATAAAATAACACATGAAGAAGTTTGTCTACTATTCTGCATTAGAGGACTAAGAACACACTACACAATATTAAAGTTATATAGTATATCAGAATCACATGTAATAAAGCATATACTCACAATTTTAAGAGAATAAAAATAATAGGGAAGCCTAAAATAAGTTTCCTTTCTTCCCCTCCTAGAGAAAGAAAGGAATAGGAAGGAAGAAGTAGACCTTGTGATCGATGGAGAGGGGCACGGCCACTCCGCCACGTGAGAGCACAGCCCTGGAGTCACCGCAGTTGGCCACTATTATCCACTTCTCCGCCACCACCGCCACCACCGCTGTCGACCCCACCATCCCCTGTCGCAGCTGCCTTGTCTCCCCCATCACCTCCGCATCCACCCGCGCGAACCCCGCTACCAGCGCCCGCCTCCACATGTCCACCCCCTCCCCCTCCCCCGCTGCCCTCCGCCGCCCCACCTCTTCTGCGACCGCCACGTGCAGCCTGTCTCGGCACGCCTGCGCTACTGTTGCTCCTCCGTGCCCATCGTACACCGCGAAGTATCCGTACCCGCCCGCCGCGAACCCCGTCACCTCGACCACTGCGTCCTCCATGTTCCTCCGCCTTCCCACTAGGGATACAGATCCGTGCGACGGGCAGTGCGCGTCCCGCACGCGCCTCGACGGCACGGGCTCGGCGAGGAGGATCACGAAGCCGTCGGCCGCGCCCTCTGCCTCAGTCTCCCCGCCGCCGTCGTCCTCGGAGGGCTGGCGGACGGGGGGGGGCGCAGGGGAGATGCTGCAGGCGGAACCAGAGCTCTCGCCCTCTTCGCGGATGCGCTTATGGGGGTTAAGGTTCTGGGGACGGGAGCGGCGGTGGTGGTTGCTTGTGTTGGTGTTGCTGGGGGGAGTCCCCTCCATTTTGGAAACTTATGTGACGTGGGCCTTCCGACTCAGGCTGTGTCCGCAGGTGCGACGTTTGCTGTGCTGCGGCGCATACCATGCCGTTTTATATTGATATGAGAGTCGCCGGCCGTTACGCTCGGGGGGTTTGATGTGCCGAGCGTACGCTGCAGCTGTGTGACGCGTTTATATTATAATGTAACACCTGGAAAGCACAGGGCCAGGAGCCACGCCGGGCCGTCGGATAGCCTGGAATCTACCGGATGCCATCCGCGTGTGCAGGGCCTGCAGTGGGCCGCCAGAGCCCGAGCCCCGCAATATAGATCGCTAGGCAGGAGGGCGTGGACGGTGGGGATCTAAAGAGCCGGACACGTTGCGCCGGTCTCCGGCCATCGGGGACCCTTTTGAGGCTACTCCCTCGGGTCGGCCGGCTCTGAGGGCCACGGGGGTGTTAGGCGAGGGTTGGGGGTAGGGAGGGTCGCCCGGAGGGCTTTGGCGCCGTTACACGCGTGGTGGTGGGAACCGGAGCGGGCGGCGCGTGCACCAATGCGTTTCGTGTCCTTTCGAGGCAGAGACATGAACAAGGTTGTTTTGCTGCCGTTATGTACAGCGCGGCTTCTCGTTCAAGTCAAGGGAAGCGTAGCCAGTAAAGAAGAGAAAGGAAGCGAGCCAGAGATAGAGTTCAGGTGGCATTAACCACTCCGAGAGGACACTGGGAGCGTCGATGCTTTGGCTCAAAATCGCGGTTTAAGATCATCGAGAAAGACTCATCCAAGAAACGCAATGTCATGTACGACGACGTTCGCATTATCCCAGAGTGAGTAAAACACTTAGCGGAGGGCGGCAACGATGTCCGCTTCATCGACCATGACCATCAAGATGCCCACCTCGTCGCTCAGAATCGCTTCTACCTTCCCAAGGACTCCGGCGACCCTCATCCCCGTGCTATCGAAATCGGAGAAGCCGCTGCAAGTTTCTCGGACGACTAAAGAGCCGGCCCTACGACAGAATCGAGGAGCGGGGCCGGAGGTGAGGCAGAGGAAGGAGAAGACAGTAGGGAGAGAGCACGGGCGGCTGCCGGTCACTGTGG